TGGTTCTTGAGTCACTTTCCTGGAGGCAGCACTTCAAGTCCAATTAGAACGGCAGCCGAGCAGGAGATGGCCAAAACGAGAGTGCTGTAGGAGAGAGCTTGTTGTTTTTGTTTTTTACTTTAATGACATATTCCCTTAGTAGTCTTGGAAGATGGAAAGTATTGCCCTTTAACTCCTGCTACCACAGCTAGTACCTGCTCAAATGCATAGCATCCAAGACCAGAGTGAGCTTCCACCGCCTCTCAGAAACTGAATGCATTTTATTTGGCACTGTTTTTCTTAAGACACGTTGCCCAATAAACTTTCTCTAAGATAAATGAAACTCATTAGTCATTATTACTAACATATGCTCAAAGGCCTGTTTTCTAGAATCTGCGTCCTTCACTGCATTTGCTCATTGCTAAGAGTACTCTCTCATCCTGCCATGACAGTTGGCTGCTGCAGTCAGCATGATATTGAGAAGTAGATTCCTTTGATCACTCCTGTACAGTGTATCCCAGGTTCTAAACATCCCGCCGCTCACCTCAGGGGTGGCTCTGGTCCTGTGGGTCATATGCACAGGAAAGACAGATGGGAACATTGTCACACTATCGGTTAGTCACGCATGTGATCCGTAACTTCGGCAAATGCTGTCCAGCTGAATTGTGAACTTGGGGTTTTAATGTCACTTGGTTTGGTGTATTGCCCCAACTGCAGTTAGGTGTTATTGTATCTCAGCTTTCAGTATCATTCTTGGTTGACAGTGTTTTTCTGGGTTCAGTCAAAACACTTAAATAACATTACCATGACATTTATACTCATGATTGGGAACTAGAAAGCCCTTTAATTGCCTCATTATTGAAAGTTCTATCAATTTGTTTTTTTTTTTAATTAAATCCACTACAATCACTGGAATCAAGAATACATAGATAATCTGGGTTTGTGGAGTGTTCCTGTGATGAAAGTGACTGGTATTCTGGCTTAAATAACAGGAAGAACAAGAGCTCAAGAAGGGGCCAGTAGAGGCCATTTGGAGATGCTGATTATCTGGCAGAAAGTCTGATTGCTAAAACAAATACTGATACATGTTAAGGGTTTGAGAATCCTAACTTCTCCCCACTGGCACCAGTGCAGAGAAAGAGAACGTTGTTGCAGGGTGCCATCTGGAGGGCTCATGGTGAGGGAAGTGCCCAGCATACAGCCCCGTTAGGAATCCAGGTCACGGGCATGAGGTGGTTTCCTACAGGTAATTAATTCCCCACTGTGACCACATGTCTCGGTGTCTACACTAATCACACAGCAGTTCCGAAAGCACTGAGCTTGTCCAAGCCACTGGGGTTCTCCTGATTCTGAATCTCTCAGCGCTCTCTGAAGCACATGCTCACTCCCCCTCGACCCCTCAGCTTCTTTCCTTCCCTGAGGGAAAAGATGGCTATTGAAGTTGGCATTCAATTATTTAGTAGTACTCCTAGCAGTTTCTATTTATACACGCTGTCATGTCCTTTAAGCATACATTTATATCTATTTCCCTTTGTGTCTGAAAATAAAAATTTAGAAAAGAAGATAATCAAGATTCTAATTTCTATTCTGATTCCTATGGCCTTTGCTTCACCTGAACAATGTCAGGGCAGGAGTGCCCCAGGAGTATCCAAAGATGCCCTGTGGTTAACCAAATGTCTGGTGGGTAAAGCACAGCCATGTAATTAGTTCACGGTGCCTGCAGCTAACCACTCTTCTCCAAACGGGAGGGCTGCACATGCTGTTTTTGTATTCACAGCTAATCGCAGAGTCACCTCCTCTAAAAGGAACACTCTGGCCTTTTAAACATGGCCTTTATTGTTGTAATGGAATTCAGGCAGAAAAAAAAATTATTTTCAATACCCTAGAGGTCCTTTATGGATAAGAATTTTATTTTAAACATTTAACATTTTGAAATTGTCCTATGGCATAGGAATTTGTGTCTCATAGATTTTACAGCCATTTGAGGTCATAGTGTTTCATCTACTAGCCATTTATTTGTTTTCTGTTTAGTCCTACCGAGGTAAGTGCTAAGGCAAAGGATGTTTGTCTTGGTCTTTGAAGACAATAAACACACTAGGATAATGGGGGAAAAATTGACAAAAGCATTTCATGAAAAATATGTCACATAATAATTTCAGTGTATAAAAAGCCACTGTTTAAATTACCAAATTAGGGACCAGCAGATGGCATAATGGTTATGTCACTGGACTCCCACATAGTCGACCACGGTTCCAGTCCTGGACCCAGCAGCTTAAAACTCATGCCGGACACATGTGCATGCGTGTCCAAGATCCCAGGAAGAGAATGAAGGAGAAGGGATTGTGGTGTGGCATCCCCTCTGGGGGATGATTTCTCGCTTTCGGTCTCTCTGGTGAACACATGCACCCTATAGGGAAAATCTCTCTTAAAAAGAAAAAGAATTATCAAGTCAAAGATACATGGTAATCATATCTTAACTTTGTGTTTTGTATAAAGTAAGTGACACATTAAAGAAACCAGAAACTTTCACTCAAAACTACAGTAAACTGATCCTTAGGAACAACCCACTGTTTTTGAGTTGAGGACACTGGCTTCCAATTGGTCTGTTTTGCATTTTTGCAAAAATTCTGACTTTTTCTGCCTTAGATTGTTCTCTTTTTACTTGTTAATTCTTCTATATCATAGTGAGTTTTTCACCATGTGAAATTTCCCTCCAGGATATACACTGCACATTCTGTTTTCTATACATTAAGAGAGAAATTAACCTGGCTACTGTTCATCCTCAAAGAAGCTGCCCTTTGACTCTTCCTTGATGCTCAGGGCATACATTTGATAGAACACTTACCGTTTTATTCTGTAATAATGCATGTGTGTATATGTACATTTATATGTGTGAGTTTATCTATGTTCACATGCATACCTTTCTTATGATTTGTTGAATAATGTCATTTGGTTAATTAAATTAATATGCCCTTTTCACTAAATTTGAGTGTTCTTAAAAGGCAAGACTGTCTCATTCATCACCTTATCCCTAGGTTTAGCTCAGTGGTCAGGAACCATAAGAAGCCACAAATGTTTCTCAAATGATTGATTAGTTTCCTACTGTCTACTGATAGCAAGGAGATTTTAGCAGTTTTTCATAAGGATAGCCAGCAGGACAGAAATCCTTCATATGTTTTTCTTGAAGAAAGATGCTACACTATTAGAGAACAACTGATTCTCAGCAATTTTCTAAATTATTCTTTATCTGGGTGCAATTTATAGCAGCTGTAGAGAAACAGTTTATCATCTAAGTACACACATACAAAAGCTTTGCATACGCACTTGGCAGAAAAAGAACAAGTAACCTAATTGGTTACTGAGCACAAAACTAATTACTGACAAGAAGAATTTCCAGTCAAAGGAGGAAAATAGAAATGAAAACAATATTTGCTAAATTCTTGAGTCAAGGAGCAGATTAATTCACTAATAATTAAAAAGAAGAAACTTTAAAAAATGACTGATAATAATTGCTTATTCTTAATGGCACTTATTATATGCTATTGCAAGTGGAGCTGTGTGGAATTATCTGCCTAGCTTGTATCATTCTATTAAGTAGGTATTTTTTTAAAAAAAGAGAATTACTTGGGACCAGCAGTTGGAGTAATGGCTATGTCGCTGGACTCCCATGTAGTCGACTGCAGTTCGAGTCCCAAACCCAGTAGCTTAAACTCACACCAGGCATGTGTGCATGCGTGTCCAAGATCCCAAGAGGAGAATGGAGGAGAAGGGATTGCGGCGTGGCCATCCCCCCTGGAGGGTGATTTCTCGCTTTCTGTCTCTCTTGCAAGCACACGTGCACTATAGCAAAAAAAAAAAAAAAACTTATTTAATTTTATTTATTGATTCTTTTTTTTTAAATTTTACCAAAGAGAGACAGAGGCACAGAGAGAGAGAGAGAGGGAAAGTGAGAAAGCAAGTCACCAGGTCTAGGAGTGGGGCCAGCACCCCCCAGTGAACATGATCAGCCATGTGGGAGTGTCCAACGCCTTAACCACCACAGCACCTGCTGGCCTCTAAGTAGGTATTATTTTCTCCATTTTATTCCATTTTATAGATAAGAGACCTGAAGCTGAGAGGAACTTGTCCAGGGTTACGCAGCCAGCAACTGCAGATTTGGAACTCTCACAAAGATGTGCTACCAAAAGCTCCAGAGTCACGCCACAAACCCTTTTCCTCCCTTCTCCTCTTCGGATTTTGGGAGTGCACACACATGGGCCCGGTGTGATTTTCAAGTTGCTGAGTCTGGGACTCAAACCGCATAGTTGGCCAGGCATGATCCAGCTACCTTAAACTGCATACCACCTGCTGGCCCTAGAGACTGTGCTTTTAATCATGGGGGCCACATTGATCGATAAAATTGTTATTATTTATGTTTAATACAAGACTTATGATGACTACTTAAGGTACAGCTATATTTTCTAATTCTTCAATCTAAGGAAAAACAATCTAAACTTCCTCCTCTTAAATAATAAAAAAACATTTTCTACGTTCATGAAGAAATTGTCTCATTTGCACCCCTTTTGTAAATAAATGTTAAAATTATCAAAAGTCCTTCCCTTTTAAAAATCTAATTGGTTTTCAAAACTTGCATCATAGGGACCAGCAGTTAGGCGTAATGGCTATATCGCTGGACTCCCATGTAGTCAAACATCGTTCGCATCCCGGACCTGGTGGCTTAAAACTCACGCCAGGTGCGTGTGCATGTGTGACCAAGATCCCGAGAGGAGAATGGATTGCGGCATAGCCATCCCCCCAGGGGGTGATTTCTTGCTTTCTGTCTCTCTGTCTGTCTCTGTCTGTCTGGCGAGCACATGTGCCCTATAGCAAAGACCTCTCCAAAAAAAACTTGTATCATAGTCCAGATAACATTAAATTAGACTCCAAGCTATAACCTTGTGTGAACCAGGCATGTCTCAGAGTCATCTTCAGGATTCGAAGTGGTTTTTTTTGTTTGTTTGTTTTGTTTTTAAATATTTCAGATGGAGTTGGCTGTCGGTCCATTCTGCAGACGAGTATCTGATTTAGGAAAGTCCTATCGAATGCTGAGATCATTCAGGTAAGATCTAGTTCTTTTTTAATATAGTCACATCCTGTTAGCAAAGAAACCCTTTCCTTCTATTCAAGTTGAAATGTGTAAAGTTGCCAGTATTCAAGCATTTTTTTTTTTTGAGAGGTTTTCGCTATAGGGCGCGTGTGCTCGCCAGACAGACAGAGAGAGACAGAGAGACAGAAAGCGAGAAATCACCCCCCAGAGGGGATGGTCACGCCGCAATCCCTTCTCCTCCATTCTCCTCTCGGGATCTTGGGCACGCACGCACATGCGCCCGGCGTGAGTTTTAAGCCACCGGGTCCGGGACATGAACCGCGGTCGACTACGTGGGAATCCAGCGACATAGCCATTACGCTAACTGCTGGTTCCCTTCAAGCATTTTTTTTACCTAACAGCAATGGCGATTTTATTGACAAGTCAGAAAAGTCGTGATGTATGACTTTTCCAACAACCTTATATATGATTCATCTTGAAAGTTATACTGTTCAAATAGAAACCTAGATAGATTTGTATACAATGACTAGGAAGTCGGTGTATGTGTGTTTTCTTGATGAATTAAAATTCACAAGATTGAACTTGTCAATTTTACTGTGTTCTTCCTAGGGTGAATTTTTTTCACTTCCTATTCTTATAGAAATGTATTGAGTTAAAAAAAAAAAAGAAATGTATTGAATAGTAATATCAGACAGTCCATAATTATGTGGAGATCTTTTTTTGAAATTTTTACTTGTTATTTTATCATTTTTAACTTACTCCATTTCTATGAAACCACAGGGAATGACCATAAATGTCATAGGTAACTTAAGCTAATGCACTGAGCACAAAATTTAGGATTAAGCTTCCTAGAAACCAGTTCAAAAGGAAAAGTAATTAGTTAATTCATATTCTAAGTCTAAGAACATGCCGGATTGTGGGGGGGTGGAGGGGTTGTATTTTGTTTTGTTTTGTTTTAGGGACTTTTGCTATAGGGCACATGTGCTTGTGAGAGAGACAGACAGAAAGGGAGAAATCACCCCCAGTGGGGATGGCTATGCCACAATCCCTTCTCATCCATTTTCCTGTTAGGATTTTGGGCACACATGCATTCGTGTCCAGAAGGAGTTTTAAGCTGCCAGATCTAGGACTTGCACCGCGTTCGACTATGTGGGAGTCCAGGAACATAATCCTTATGCCATCTCCTGATCCCAAAACCTGCCAGTTTAGCAGGGAGAAAAGTTCCTTTTGGTGCCAAGAACTTAGACAGGTTTTATCAATTCTGATTTTAAAGGACATTAAATGATTTAATAACTGGGATCTTCCATAGCAGATTTTAAATGAAAAGATGTTTTCTGTATGGCTATTTATTCAGTAAACTAGAACTTCCAAAAGTTTTTCACATTATGGCACACATAGAAAATATTTACATTCAAAAAGGTGACCAACCCTGAGGGCTAAAGAGGACCTACATTATTTCTCTCTCTGTTTTTTAAAAGAATTATTTATTTAATTTTATTAATTCTTAATATTATTTTATTTTGATCAGAGAGAGAGAAAGTGAGAAAGCAAGCTGCCAGGTCTGAGACTCAAACCATGGTCAGCCACATGGAAGTCCAGTGCCCCAATCACTATGACACCTGCCAACCCCCAACATTATTCTTGACATAATTTTGTGACTGCAATATTCCAGATAGAAAGCTTTGATAGAAACTGCCCATAATATCCAAGAGCCTAATCTAATGGTCTATGATTATGAGTGTGTATATACACACACACACTTTCTTTTTTTTTGGCTACAAAGCACACAATCTTGCCAGAGAGGGAAAGTGAAAATCAGCACTCACCCACCAGAGGGTATGGCCACCCTGCAATTCTCTCTCCTCCACTCTTCTCTTGGGATTTTGGACAGGCGTACACACATGCCCAGTGTGTTTCTCAAGCCTGGATTCAAAGTCTGCGTTCAAAGCAGGTAGGATCCTATGTGGGATCCAGTGCCTTCACCACTGGCTGGTCCCTTTGAGCATATGTCTAGAAAGATAAGGTTCAAGAGTTCAGGTATGCAGCTTTTAAGAACTGACCCAGGGGCCAATAGGTGGCATGGTGGTTGAGATGCTGGACTCCCACAAGGCCAACCGCAGATCAAGTCCTGGTCCTGATGGCTCTCTCTCTCTTCCTGGTGAATTAAACAAATAATATTAATTAATTAATTGATTGATTAATTAATTAAAAAGAAAAACCTGACCCAGTACTGGAAAGTAGAGTAATCAATAAGAAATATGTCTTTTTTGTTTTTAAGGTTCTTGCCATAGGGCACGTATGTTTGTTGGAGAGAGACAGAGAAAGGAAAATAAGAAATCACCCCCAGGAGGAATGGCCTTGCTGCAATCCCTTTTCCATTCTTTTCCCAGGATTCTGGGCATGCATGTATGTGTGTCTGGCATAAATTTCAAGCTGCCAGCTCAGGGACTCAGTCCACCGTCAGCCACATGGGAGTGCAGCACCTTAACCACCATGCCACCTCCTGGCCCAAGCAGTATGTATTTTTTTTTTTAATTTTTAGAGAGATTTTTGCTATAGGGTATATGTGCTCATCAGAGAGACAGAAAGCAAGAAATCACCCCCAGGGGAATGGCCACACAATCCCTTCTCCTCTCAGGATCTTGGGCCCAGCATGAGTTTTAAATTGCCAAGTCTAGGTCTCGAATCACAGTCAACTACATGGGAGTCTATAATCATTGTGCTATCTGCTGATCCCTTCAAGCAATATGTCTTTGAAATGATTGCTTTGCTGTCTTACATCATCAAGATTTGGTAGTAGAATATTCATGTGTGGGAACCAGGAGATGGTGTAATGGTTACATCACTGTACTCCCACATAGTTGATCATGGTTTGAGTCCTGGACCAGGTGGCTTAAAACTCAAGCCAGGCATGTGTGTGCCCAGAATCCCAAGAGGAAAATGGAGAAGGGCTTGTGGTATGGCCATCCCCCCAGGGGGTGATTTCTTGCTTTCTATTTCTGTCTCTCCTGTCTCTCTGGCAAGCACATGTGCCCTATAGCAAAAATCTCTCAGAAAAATAAATGTGTGTATAATATATATACATATATATTCAGATATGGTATAACAAATAATAAAACTCAGTATTGTTGGGCCGGTATGTGGTGTGGTGGCTAAGGGCACTGGATTCCCATATGACCAACTGTAGTTTGACTCTTGGATGTGGCGGCTTGCTTTCTCAATTTCCCTCTCTTTCTCTCTGTCTCTCTGGTCAAATTAAAATGATAATAATAAATAAAATGAAAATGAAAAAATTATTTAAAAGAAAAAGAATTAGTACTGTTGATTGAGAGGGGAACTGTATGCTTTGCCTTGCCCATTCGTAATTGGCAAAAGTGTCTTCTTTTTAATGCCCTCACAAAGGATTGAATTTTATTTTTTCCCAAAAGAAAGATCATTACCTGTCTGTACAGAGGTGAATTTCAGAAAAAATAAAGTAAGATCACTAATGTTTTCATATACCTTCTTTGCATCAGCTCAGATCTTTTAAAAAGTGCTGTTTTTAGGGTCTAGCTGTGGTGGCACAGCCAAGAGAACAGTGCTGTGCACTGTCTGGGGCTGCATGAGAGGCCCGGGTTTGGTTCTCACCCAGTGTGAATGGGCTGAGCGTGGTGGCGCATGCCTGTGGTCCTGAGACGCTGGGGTGGGAAGAATTTCAACATGGCAAGAACTTGGTCGAAAATGCCCCTCTCATTTTCTCTCTCTCCCCCCTCACTCTTTCTACACGTGCATACTCATATGTGTCTTTTATGAAACAGTAATTATCCTTACTTCACGTGATGCTATCTGCCTTTTGTTCCCTTTAATTTGTCAGAGGGCGAATGCACTGTGTATAGAGACAGAGAAAGCACAGCCCCATGGGGAATGGTCATATCATAATCTGCTCTCCATCTCTACCTCCTTCTGGGATTTTGGGTACACATGCACACACGTCCACTGTATTTTTCAAGTCTCTGGGTCTGGGACTCAGACCACCCCATAGGCCTTGTGGGGATCCAGCCACCTTAACTACTGTGCCACCAGCTGGCCTAATCTCTTGCCATTTCTGTTTCATGTGATTATTTCAACACATTAGATTAGTTTCATTACCCACTACTAATGAATTGAGTTGAGTTTTTCAACTTTTTCACAGGGCTCTTTGCTCTTTTTTTGAGACATTTCGGCATTTTGAAAAAGTAGTGGCGTAGAAAAACATGGAAAAATACATCATGACTTTTCTTAGGACCCAGTATTATTTATGGATGATAGAATTGTCACTAATGATTTTCCTTTTAGGCTTTTCATGTATTTTACATTTTCTGCCTCAATTCTATTTTTATAATCAGAAAAGTCAATAAATACTTTGAAATCCCAGTTGCATTGTTTCTGTCATTTAAAAATAACAAAGGAAGGCCGGCTGTGTGGTGTGGTGGTGAAACCTTGGTGGCAAGGGGAGCGTGATCCACCACAGTTTGAATTCTGGTCCTGGTGGCTTAAAACACACTCTGGGTGCATGTGCAAGTGTGCCCCAAATCCTGATGGGATGGAGAAATGGAGAAAAAAGGAATTGCAGTGTGACTACATCCCAATGAGGAATGTTTTCTCCGTCTCCCTTCTCTCTGTCTCTCTCTGTTCCTGGAGAGTGCATGTGTCCTCTGGCAATTATTGGATTGTTGGGAAAGTCATGATGCATTTTTGCATAGAAATACATAGAAAAATACATCATGACTTTCTCAACAACCTAATAAAAACAAGAGCTCAAAGATAATATAAAATATACTAAGACATTACCAATAAAGGGGGTAAGTGGGGACGATAAGAACAGGCAACCACACAGGCAAAACCCAGAAGGCTGCAGGAGCCGCAAAGGGCCTCAGTCTGCATTAGAGGGCAGGGCTGCAGGGGGGGACAGCGGGCTAAGCGCAAGGGCCCCTCTATAAGGGAGAGTGACAGAGCCCACCAGAGAGCTCCAGTCCAGACCCCAGGAGCAGCAC